ACGCTGGCCTTGTAATCCTGGGGTCTCGGGTTCGATTCCCGGCGGTGCCCGAATTTTTAACTTGTGTTGGGCAAGGCCGTGGCCTAGGCAACACGGAGTTTTCCTCATTGGCATCCCAACAATTACTCCATTCACACAGAAGAAGGAAATGGCAAACACCTTCTGGATCATCTGCCAAGAACGTATATGAACAGGTCCCAGTCCGAGAAAAGGATGGAAGGATCCTGTTCATATGGACCTGTCGTCAGACAGAACACTACAAATAAAATAAAAATAAAATTTGTAATTGTCTGTGGTGTCGTGAGGGTTGGTGTGTGATCGTTAAACATTCACATGCCAGCAACTCCATATGGAAGATCTCGTTGAATCTAGAGGACTCTACTTCTGTAATGTTGGCTACCGGAGGAATTCTGTAGTCACCTTCGTCCTTAAGGGAGGATAGCAGCTGGTTGTATTTATGTCGTGTTATTGGCAACGCCCGATCGTCTGATTTTATGTGTGCCGTCACGAATACTAAACAATTTGAGGTAGAATCGCTATTGAACCTTTTTCAATAGCACGAGGTTGTACTTCAAACACCTTCTGCATTTATGGCAATTTTTGGAACTTTTACAGCAATACAAAAAAAAATCTCTTGAATTAATTTCGTAACTCTTTTAATCCGAAGATTGTCCAAAAAAATTTAAGAACTTCTAATAATCACTGCATACAGTGCAACCCATATATACAGAATGTAGCGTTAAAAGTTGCTGAAGCTGATGGTACATGCACTGACTACCACTCTGTTCGAAATGTCGTGAAAACTAAGAAGTTTTCTTTGAGTTCAGTGCGTAACAGTAGCCATAGTCGCTTGTTGCTTTTCAATTTTAAACGAAGATGAACCAACTGTCAAATATGAAATATTCATATTAACTGCTGGCATCGTAGTAAAGGAACGTAAATTCTGTTTCTGGGAATTAAAATCGCAGCAGGTCAATGCACGTGACCCTGCTTTGATAAAAAGCCCGGAAAATCATTTTGATAGATCCGAGACATGAGATATTTAGACTACACACATTTGAAATTTATTTTGATAAAGAAGAACACATACGTTTTACTTGACGCTAGTAGAGAGTTGAGGATGAGTGAGTTTTTCCGATCTGTTCTGTAAATTCTGTTTCTGGGAATTAAAATCGTAGAAGGTCAATGCACGTGATCCTGCTTTGATAAATAGCGCCGGAAAACTTTTTGATAGATCCGAGACATGATATATTTAGACTACACACATTTGAAATTTATTTTGATAAAGAAGAACACAGACGTTTTACTTGACGCTAGTAGAGAGTTGAGGATGAGTGAGTTTTTCCGATCTGTTCTTCAGTTGTAAGGCAAATACAAGAGTATAATTCAAAAGGAGAACGGCCCGCCAATCTCAAATCTTTGAGGCCTTCAGCTGACGTGACAAAAATTCGCAGAGCGACCTCTGGGTTTAAATTCCAGACAACTCTCCAACCAAAATCCTTTTCATGAACGACAAGTTGCCTCACGAGATACCTCTCATCAGCAGCAACAAACCGTCAAGGCTTCCGCCGCTACAAAACCATCGTAGTCATAAGGCTCTGTTTACCATTTCCAGCAATGCGCTCCTGACGCAGGAATGGTGTTTTCTAGCTAGGGATGATGTCTTGCGCTTGCGCAAGCCTCTGCCCTTAGTTAGCTTTTTGGTTCTGCTAGGTCCAGAGACAGGGACAGGGACTAGCTCTATGGATTGGGCCTAACAGAGTCGGATTTATACCTGGAGACGGAGAAAGACTCCAGTCTCCAAAACGCCATTTTTATTGGTTTTTGATTTCGGACTATGCATTAGGTCCAAAAATAGTTTGCTTCAACATCTTAAGATACTCTATCCAAGGACTGTATTCGAGTATGTGACCTTAGATCCAGTAATTTGCGTTCCTGCCTACTGAAACCATTCTTCTTGTCAGGAATCGAACCCAGTGTTCAGGTCTTCGTTTCCGTAATTTTGTAGTATCCCAGGTCCCCCAGAGTCGTCTGGCTCTTGACTCTTGGACTAAGGATTAACTACTGCAGATGAGCCGAGCGGATGCTTCTGTGTTCAGGTGGCTGTGGAGCTGCTGGATAAGGCGTCACTTAAGAGTGATGTAGCTCAAGTGCAATCTTTAGATGTGCTTTATTGAAGAAGCTGCAGATACAGTCTGTGAGGTTGCTGAGACTTCGGAGACCCAAGAGCAGAGATTCGAATTCAATGGCAGCGTGACTGCCTGAGCTGAATGGTTGTAGTTACTCCCCCTTGTCTTAAATTTTCGAGAGGTATATATATGCTTCAATAAATGATTTCCCTTGACGTAGGGTACCAAAATACTCTCTATTTCTCTGCCTTAGGGAGTCTTGGTCTCAACATCACATGTTTTTCCATACATGGTTCCGTGCCTTCTGGCCTTTTAAACTTGTGTAACTTAACTTCAGGGTGTTTACGTCCTTCGGTCGCAGTTTCTGTTTGTTTGGATTTCTTAACACAATTTTCTAACATTTCTCAAATAACAAGTTTATACTTGCTTAATAATACCTCAATACGTGGTTCGTGACCCACAGATACGACAATCTCCCCTTCGAGGCAAAGAACTCTGATCGTAGCGCCTTTGTTCTATTTCGTTTAGTTTCGGAGTTAAAGGAACCCGCCCTTGAAGGAAATCAAACCCAAGACACTTTTCCCTGAGTTCTGAACTTCTTGTGTTCTCTCATTCGTCTTAAGGAATAATTACGCCACGTTTCTTCTTCACGAGCCGCAAGCGAACGAGTAAAGAAATGTCAACCCTCAATTTCGAGTTTACACACGTCCAGTAGAATCTGCGGTACTTTCTTACAAATTCATCTTCTGGGTCTCAGACAGTTTTCGGGCTTGTGACTTTAGTCAGTCAAATCATTTCCCAGGAACAAAAACAGAATTTGCCTTAGCGCTATTCTTCTCTAGTGCTTGCTGACCAAACAACAGAAAACATCTTTGGCTGGGTTCGAACGAAGGAAACAGTTTCTGTGGTCCAGCGCCCGGGCCCTCAAAAATCATCTTAAAATTTAATCATATATACTGAAACCGGGAAAATGTCAACGCTCAATTTCGACCTCTGCAGTATTTACAAAGGAATACCGAATATTTTTAAATTTATTCTCTTCTTATAGGGAAAGTACTTAGTAGTAATTATTGACTTCTTATATTTATGACTGAATGCAACCAAATTATAAGCTACAGTTATTAACTTTCTTGTGTTTCTTCAACTACCAACAATGTGTAAATATTGACCGACAATGGTCAGGTTTTATATGATATGAACTCCTGCGTGCATAAGAATGTAAGAAAAAGTATTCGAATTTCTGACCCACATCTGCAACAATGTTGATTGAGCATGCCATAAGGCTCTTTTCTCGTTTCTTATACACGCAATATAATAGCCTGAATGAACCGTATTGCACTCTATTCCTTTACCTCAGGAACTAATTGTTACGTTCTGCATTGTTGTGTTTCATTATTGCCGTCAACAATCCGCTTTCGTTATTGCCGAAAGAGCTGAGTTGTGAATCACATGTAGAAGAAGTGCGTCGTAGAGTAGATAATATTGTGCTCTTAAAAACTCTTTAGAATATCACAGGTACTTACCTTGTATAAGAATTATTAAGAACTTTGTGATACTGCCCTCCACTCTCTCCATTTTAGTTCTGATTAAATTCACCATTGACGGTGGACATCGTGGTCTCTTATTATTGAACAAAGTTTGAGGTAAGCGATTCCTATTTATTATTGTTGTTGTTCATCACATTTAGATATTTTAATCTGCATTTGTGAACTCTTCTTTTTAACACAATTTCAAGTAATATTAGATTGACTTCTGTTTGTTCACGGCATCACTGATATTTTTGTTTGTTTGTCATTAGTCTTTCGACTGGTTTGATGCGGTCCTCCATTTTCGCCTAACTTGCGCCAATCTCTTTATTTCCACATATTTTCTGCAGCCCACAGCCTCAAGAATCTGCGTCACATATTCCAATTTCTGCCTCCCCCTACAATTCTTCCCTTCAACTGTTCCTTCCATTACCAAATTAACCAATCCCGGGTGCCTCAGAATGTGTCCCGCCATCCTATCTCTTCTTCTCGTAAGATTTGTCCATAGACTTCTTCCTTCGCCTATCCTGTCTAAGACCAGCTCATTTCGTCCTTTATCAGTCCACTTAATTTTCAACATTTCAAATGCTACGATCCTCCTTCTTTCTGGCTTTCCCACCGACCATGTTTCGCATCCGTATAGCGCTGTGCTCCAAACATATAACTTCAGAAAAATCTTTTTTAATTCCAGGTTAATGTTTGACACTAGTAGACTTCTCTTTCTGAAGAAGGCTCTTTTCGCTTGTGCTAATCTGCTTTTAATGTCTTCCTTGCTTCGTCCATCTTTTGTGATTTTGCTTCCTACAAATGACTCCCGGAAAAAGGAGAAACCTCTACCTGCCAACGGCCTCTTGTTAAGGGGACAGAGGAGCGGGTAGAGGTCCAGGACCAGACATTCTTCTCGGTACCGTGTTCCCTCTCAGTCACTCTCAGTTGACGTGCACACGCGTCAGTATGAAGAAAAACCTGTAATAACGATGGACTGTTTTTCAGGAGATGGAGTGAAACAAACATCGCAGCTGTTATCAAGATAGCGGCAGGTGCTGTCTTCTGGAAGTTGCGTCGTAGAATCTGAGTGGTATTTTAGGCGTAATTACTGTCTTCTTTTCTTGATGATGGAGGCAGTAAGCACCTCTGAAAGGTCCGATAATTTCTACAAGACAACACGACGCAACATCCCAGAAGACGTTCGTGGTTTTTTGTACTAATTTTTAAGTGCGGTTGTACCAAGGTGACAGTTAATCGATCTGGAGGGAATCAACCCATTTCCAAAACGTCTTGGTTTTAATAAATAAAGAAGACCGACAGAGTCCTGAAGCAATTTGGTAACGCACCTTTGTCACGCCATTGTCCGGAACACTGAAAGCTGCTGTGAGTTGCTCTGTCTGAAATATAATAAACTGAAACAAAGAACTTCGCGAGGAATGCTTCATTGGTAGGAGAGAATCGTTCGCGAATTTGTGCAAACGTTAACTTTCTTGTGTTTTGAATAAAGATGCGGTGCGTTCTTGAAATGAGAAATGAATTTTAACCGTGAACCATTGTTTCTGTTTTCCGAGAGACGTTTCTCAAGCGTTTTTTATAAGCTGTGCCCCCTTTCAGTTTTCCGACAATCAAATCTTTCTGTTTGTCTTGCAATGCAAAGCCCTTAATTCGTAATAGGAAATTGTTTGCTGGTTGGTGATCACTTTTAAAGGCCGCGTAGAAACATCGGCTTTTCTTTTAAATTGTTTATTATCGGGAAAATTTTTGACAGAACAAATAGATTTCATATTACGCTCTGATCAATCAGTGGAATGTACAGCCTGCGATATATGTTGAAATATTTGTGTTAATTTGCTGGTTGCCTTTAAAATTTCTGTATTGGTTGTTATAAACTCAGATATCTGTTTAAGGAGTCAAGGGCATATAGGAAACGAGGTGACCATTCTATAGTACAAATGTTGCTGCTTGCTATCCGATTTGTAAGTTATATTCTGTGAAGCCTACGCACGCTCTTCGCCCTGTCGCAGTAAATCTGGTCCCATTAGTAAACATTCCGGGAGTTTTTGAAGTACTCAGATAGAAAAAAATCATCCACCACATTGACAAAAGGATACGTGGGTTATAAAAACTTAAAGTTTATGCGCATGATTTGTAATTTTCTGCTCGATATTTCTCCAAAACGACGACTACTTTGTGACGTTTAAGGACCCTCTTCACGACAACACTGCACACTAGTGAGGAGACTGATATTCTTCTCCACGGAGTCAGCTCAGACATGATGACCCAGATACTGGATTATGTTTATTTTCGCGAGTTGGACATCCGCTCCGACAACGCGCGTCAGCTGCTCGTGACGGCTGATTACTTGTTTATTCCGGACCTTCGTAAACTCTGCTACGACTACCTCAAGGTCGCGATGGACGTCTACAACTGTATCGGCATCTTGAGTGTCGCAAGGTAATCGATGTTCATTTTGATGTGTCGCCAGCCTTCGTCGCTGGAGCGAATCACCTTATCTCAAGACAGCAGCCGAGTGCCGGGTCGGAGATTAAACCCTCTGACTGAGGACTGGGCAAATTATAAAGCGTTGTTGGTCAGGGCAGTTGGCGTGATATAATTAACGTTTCTGTAATTTAGATGTTGTGATTTAACTGCATATATTTTGATCGTCGTTATGACCAGCAGATGACTAATTTCACCATGTAGACCTAATTCAGGGTCATAATTAAATCTGTCTTCCTCTCGAATTCCTTTTCATCTCTTATTCTTTCTTTCTCTGCGAAAATCCTTGGTTCTTACATAATCCTCCCAATATCATAAACAAAATTCAACTCCACATCTTTCTGCATACAGCAAAACCTCTGTAAACCGATCCTCGATTATCCGATTCCCGCTTTTAGCGACCGAATTTCAACCAAATCTCCCTTGAACAGCGGCCACGAGTGACTTTTGCCGTCGGCTTGTGCGTGCGAAACGTCCGTATCATCCGCCGCCGAGGAAAATCTGTATTGAATCTCTAGTAATTTGTTCAAATCCATGACGACGTTCCCCTTTCACTCGCTCATCCGAATTATCGGCTTATCCGACCCGTGATTCTCCCAATATGTGTCGGTTACACGAGGTTTCACTGGATTAACACACACGGTTAACGCAATGACGTTTCGCCAAGTTTAATGCCAGAATTCAAAATTCCACACTTGTCATCACACAGCCTTTTTCAGTTGCGCGCGCCATTCCCTTGTTTCAACCCATAATTTCACGAGGACCAGCGGACATTTCCCAGGAACCTTCAGAGCCGAAAACTTTCTATTTTGCTCCGGTTAAACGGAGCGTCTCTTATCGTTGCCTCTCCACGTGTCTGCTCTCAGTCTCACTCATTCGGGCTTCAAAGGGCTAAGACAAAAACTGGAGGCGAAATACTGTGGTGTGCAAATGCTTGAGAATCCAGTTCTTGCTGCCAGAGTTCGAAGGAGATCGATTCTGAGTCGGCTCTTACCCTCGCTGTCTCAGGTCTCACTCCTGCGCCGACCTCGAGGCTCACGCTCGTCGCCTCGTTCTGCGCCACTTCGGTGAACTGTATCAGCAGAGCGAAGAACTGCTGGAACTGGATGTAGAGGAGCTGCAAGCGATAATCCGGTCAGACAAACTGAACGTGAAGGACGAGAAAGTTGTGTGGGAGTGCATCCTCCGGTGGCTCAACCACGACCCGGACAACAGGAAAGATCAGATCACGGGCCTTTTGAAGTGCGTCAGACTGGGACTATTTGACGCAAAGTACATCCTGAAGGAGGTCGGTATGCCCCTGAAGTCGTGGATGTTTATAGGAAGTGAAGCCCGCATTTTAATTCCATATTCACACGTGTTCGTAACTAATTAATGCAAATCGTGAGCCTTTTTCTTCGTCACGTGTAAGCCCGTGTGTCTGTCCGCAGTTCCAGCTCGAGAACGTCTAAACGGATGTTCATTAGATTTAATACTGACAGGTTTTAACAGAATCTGTTGTCATACTCCGATTCGGATTAAAATCTTACAATAACAACGTGAAAATTACACAATGATTTTAATGCCTTACTCCGCACAAAATTTGCTGCGTAAAAAATCCCCAGATTGCCATAGTTACAATGGTTATAGTAACTACCTGTAGAATGCCGCTGGTAACACGCTCGCATATGAGAGTGTATGTGCAAAACAAATATTCGATTCGTCTTTTTATGCAGATATACGAGGTACGATCAGAAAGTTTCAAGACTGCGCCTATAAAAACCCGTACACTTATCTCAGGTATTAAATTCATCCATCACCCTCGAAGTAGTTCCCCTGGGAGTGAACACAACGATCCCAGCGCCGCTGCCAAGCCTGGAAACATCCCTG